TGGCGGCTCCCCGCTTATGCTAATGAAGCCCGGGAAATTCAAATCCCGGGCTTCATTAGCAAGTGCGGTATGCATACATTACCCCGCTAGTTCAAACTAGCGGGGTAGTGTAGACATACCCAAAGAGTATAATTTTGCTCCGTCTGCAGTCCTTTGAGTGGTTGTTCAAATATCAGTGAATTTTCTTAATTGTCAGACTCTCATTTTATCCCCTTGTTCAGTGGAGTTCCCTAGAACTTTTGGGAAGTTTGGATGTGACTCCAGATCAGACTTCAGGCCCGTCTAGCTGTAATCTGGGGTTACCTCATAGAATGCCCTGCAAAATCTGTTCTGTCTGGAGCCAACCCTTTTCAGCTCTGAGTGCTGATGGAACTCCCAGCTCGTCCTTCCTGCATGATCCAAAGCGTTTGTTTCACTGTTGGGTGTGGATGTTAAATGAGCTGATGCAGCAAGCAGCCCTGGATTCTCACAACAGGTTTGTGTTGGGTTTAGATACAGAGTTCAGATACGCGTCTCGCCCAGCCACGCCCCAGTTCGGTGCCACGCTACCCGCACCTGAAGAGGCGATTGGCACGACTTGCAAAGCTGGGAGCAAAAGACACCTAGAGCATCGTATGGCCCCAGAGCGCAGTGGAAGTAGCACTACCGGCTCCAACAGCAGTTCCCAGGCCCAGGCACCAGAAAAAGTCACTCTTGTTGTCGATGGCACTCGCTTTGTTGTGAATCCGCAGATTTTCACTGCTCATCCCGACACCATGCTGGGAAGGTAGGGAGTTCAGTCACTTGTAATGAGACCCCACGCTGTCTGAAAGGAACTGGGACGTGGTCTCCCAAGCGAAGCAGGCTCAGACTGGTTCAGCCTGTGGCTGGGAGGCCTCGTAGATTAGAACCAGCTGCTAGAAGATTGCTGGTGATTCAGTAGCTAGCGATCCCCCTCTGAACTAGTGCTTACCTGGAAATCCGAGGTCGATTTAACAGGTCTACTAAGGACCCACTAAATCCAGCGCTGATGGTGCCCATCGACCCTGATACTCCCCGGGGTTGTAAGGAGTAAAGGACGTTGATGGGAGTTTTTCTCGTCAGCCTCCCGCAGGGGGGCCGCTGCAGAAATTTGTTATAAGATACGTCGACCCCAGATGAGCTATCCTCGGAGCTGGAGTTGCGTCTCTTATGTCGAATTTCTCCCCCGGTGTAGGCCTGGCCTGAGTGTGGCAGTGGGAGGTACTGCACAGCCAACTCCAGAGCCACTGGGCACTGGTTCCTTCAACCCAACCTTTCTACTTTTTGTCACACCCTTCGCTCAGCCTCCTCCCCTTGATTTCAAGGCAGGCCTGCTGCGAGTAATTCAGAGTCTTCGTCCCGACAGCCTCCTGGGAGACCTTCCAAACCCAGGGGACTTATTTTGCTATGCAGATAAGCGACCTGCTTGTCACTCCCTCGCTTGACTACTCCCAGCCACAGCGTATGTACCACGGCCAGCGCCACGTCCTCCCCCGAACCGGGCCTCGAGAGCAGGGATGCTGTGGCCAATGTACCACGGCCACTGCCACGTCTTCCCCCGAGCCGGGCCTCGAGAGCAGGGATGCTGTGGCCAATGTACCCCGGCCACTGCCACGTCCTCCCCCAAGCCGGGCCTCGCGAGCAGGGATGCTGTGGCCAATGTACCCCGGCCACTGCCACGTCCTCCCCCAAGCCGGGCCTCGCGAGCAGGGATGCTGTGGCCAATGTACCCCGGCCACTGCCACGTCCTCCCCCAAGCCGGGCCTCGCGAGCAGGGATGCTGTGGCCAATGTACCCCGGCCACTGCCACGTCCTCCCCCAAGCCGGGCCTCGCGAGCAGGGATGCTGTGGCCAATGTACCCCGGCCACTGCCACGTCCTCCCCCAAGCCGGGCCTCGCGAGCAGGGATGCTGTGGCCAATGTACCCCGGCCACTGCCACGTCCTCCCCCAAGCCGGGCCTCGCGAGCAGGGATGCTGTGGCCAATGTACCCCGGCCACTGCCACGTCCTCCCCCAAGCCGGGCCTCGCGAGCAGGGATGCTGTGGCCAATGTACCCCGGCCACTGCCACGTCCTCCCCCAAGCCGGGCCTCGCGAGCAGGGCTGCTGTGGCCAAGAAGCATTCATGTGCTGGGGAGAGTGCCACCCTTATTGAGGCTGCTGCATCTTCCATGCCCTGAAATGGTTCCATTACGGATACAGAAGTTTGCTGCTGCAGGGCCTGTCTGAGGCCTCTGCTTCGTTTCCTTGTGGCTGGAAGAGCACGTCTACGCAGCAGCGCTATTTCGAAGTAACATCAGTTATTGTGAAATAGCTCAGTGCGCGTCTACACAGCAAATTGGAGAGAACGGGCTTCCTACTCCGACTTCTGTCACCCTCGTGGTGCGAGGCGGGAGGGACGGCAGAGGAAGCTCACGCCATTTCGGAACAAGTGCCGTGTAGACGCGCCTCAATTCAAAATAAGCGGTTTCAACTTAAGCTACGCAATTGACACAGGTCGAGCTGCGTCGCTTATTTCGAGTTTAGCCCTGCTGTGGAGACGCGCCCTAAGAGATTTGAATTTGGACCGCCCACTGTAACAGAACCGTGGGGGTGGGGGGGTTCCAGTGTCTGGCCACAAACCGAGAGGATTGAATAGACTCGTGTGTTTTTGTCTTTCAGAATGTTTGGAGCCGGCAGAGACTATAATTTCACTCGGCCAAACGAGAAGGGAGAATTTGAAATTGCGGAAGGAATTAGCGCCACTGTATTTCGCACCGTGCTGGTGAGGGCACATTTTAGCTGTGGAAACAGTCATTGGTCCTGGTTGCAAAGCCGGGCCCCCGCAGAGCAGCTGCACGCCCTTTCGCATGTACATTCACGGGCCGGTTTACATTTGGATTATACATCTCGCTGAGGTGACTCAGTCTGCGCTCACGCTGGGTTGCCACTTTCCCTCGCTTTCTGCGCTGCCTGCCATTTCGGTGCCTGGGCTCCGCCCTCGCCCCACGTCTGCATACGGGGCATTGAATTGCAGGACTAACGCCTCGGCAGAGCTGCTTTCTCTCGCGTTCTCGCTCGCTCTCTTTGTTGCTGTTGCTCGCTAACCAAGTTGCTCATGAATGACTGCTGGCAGAACAAGAAACTAATTAGCAAGAAATGTAGCCTGAGGATTTTGGTTTTAAAGAAACCCCACCATCCTCCTTAACCATTTATTTGCAGGATTATTACAAAACTGGAACCATTAACTGCCCCGATGGAATTTCTATCCCTGATCTCAGAGACACGTGCGATTACCTCTGTATCAACTTTGACTCCAGCACAATCAAGTGTCAGGACCTAAGTAAGTCCCGGGGCAGAGGGAGGGTTACCAAGACCAGTGTTTCTCACCCCGTGCTAGGAGTACTCTTAGGGGACCTGGGGGCGAGGGGGGCGATGTCAACACCGCTGAACTTTGGAGAAAACTGAATTTTTGTTTTAACACTTTTTTTTTGGTACTTTTTACACCCAAAAATTCCATCGCCTGCCCGGCTGCAGCTAAGTTGGTTAAACAAATGTGGTGCAACGGTAGAAAAAGCCCGGGTGTATCTGAACACTGTGGGCACTGGGGGTGCTCAGCATTTTTTCATACAAAGGTACTTTATAAGACATGGTTGCGTAGCCCTGCCCTAGAAGAGGGCTTGGTCCCACCAGCGCGGAGCCCTTGGTCACATTGACTCCCGCGGCAGCACCCGGGGCTTGGCGCGTGCTCCCTGCTGTGCTGGAGGGGGGCAGAGCGCCCTCCACAAGAACCAAGCTCGTGCTCTGCCCTTTGTGCGCCGCTGCAAACAGGAGCAAGAATGTGGCCTGGGGGGGCAGGGCGGGGTTGGTGTGGTGAGCTCTGCGGCGACCCCCCAGGGCGGAGGGCTCCTCGCACTCAGAGCCCGGACTGAGCCTGGAGGTCAGCCCACAGGCTTGTCTACACCTGAAATTGCAGCAGCACCGCTTCCGTGTAGACACGCCCTGCCCCCGTGGGAGGGGACTTCCGGTGGCCTAGGCAAAGGCAGAATCCTCCTGTCGGTCCAGCGCTGTCTGCACCAGGAGTTAGGGCGGCTGGGTGGGGTTGTGGATTTTCACCCCCTCAGCAATGTAACTGGATGGACCTAACTGTGCAGCGTGGACCAGGGCTGGGAGTGTCCCAGACTCGAACACTGGGCTTCGCTGCAGCTTGGCTGAGCTCCGGGCTCTGCTTTCCCCTCCAGCTCTCTGTGCTACCCCCAGGGATTCCCGTGCTTGTGCCAATTAACTAGTGAACCCGGCCGTGAGTGCACTCGCCCTGAAGAGCGCGTGCCACCGGGGACGGACTCCCTGCGCAGAGCCCCAAGGTCGAGCCGGAGGGGACAGGCGAGGGAGCCTGGCCTGCCCTGTGCCGGGGGAGAGGCCGCTGGGAGACCTGGCACACTGAAGGGTTCCTCCTAGAGACCGTTGCAAAGCCGTGCGGGTCAGCTTGGCGTAAAGCGCAGCAGTAGACCCGTTACTCTTACTCACTCACACTGGATTTGTCTCCTTGCAGGTGCTTTGCTGCACGAGCTCTCTAATGACGGTGCCCACGAGCAGTTTGATAGCTACCTGGAAGAGCTCATTCTGCCCATAATGGTGGGTAGTGCCAAGAAAGGAGAGCGCGAATGCCACATCGTGGTACTAACAGACGAAGACACGGTGGACTGGGACGAAGACCATCCACCTCCCATGGGAGAGGAGTACTCGCAGAGTAAGAGCTGATGTGGCAGGTGGCTCCGGGGACCGGCCCTCTGTTTGAGCCTGGACAGGGGCGTTTCCTGGTGTTGAAAAGACAACACTGGCTTGATTGTCAGCGGTCCGGAGCACCTGTGTGGAGTTGTGCGGGGATCAAATCCTGGGAAGATCAGAGCATAGTTGTGGTTTGAGAACGTGTGATTCTCTCCAAGTATTCTGTTGAGATTTCACTAGCAGGGGGAACAGGTTAGCCTGGAGTGAGAGATTTCATCAGAAACGTGCAAAGCCGTGCTTATTGTAAGCACAACGTTCTTGTTCGTATCCAAACGGCTACGTGGTCGGCGACGAGAGAGTCGGGTAGAACGTATCTCTAAGATCCAATCTTGGTAAATCTGGATTCCATCCTTGTGTTGTCAAAGTCTGCAGGGGCTCTGTGATCACATAGAAAGCAGAATGCCCCAAGGAAGATCACTTGTTTGATCTGTCCTGAGATTTCTAGCTTCAGACTGTCACATTGGAAAACAAGGAATAGTCTAGCAGCACCTAAAGGCTAACAAAACGTGGATGGGATCGTGAGCGTTCGTGGGCACAGCCCACTTCTTCAACCGTAGGGAGTATTAAAGGTCCAGTTCCAAAATAAATAGGGGAGGGGGGAGAGAAGGAAGGGGAAAGTCAGTGAGAGTGTTCATGTTACATGAAGCTGATAAGAACAGTTTGCACCTTCTCTAAGTCCCGTTTGGTTTTCCGTCCGTCCGTCGGGTGTGGCCGGCAGGGCGGGGCGCTGGCCAGGCCTCGTGATGTGTCGCAGACTTGTACGTGAAGTTCAGTTCCACATACCTCAGTGCACATAACACAATTATTCCACACATTAATGGAAAAATTAGAGGGAACCTTGTCTGTACATGTATCATTGCCCCCATCAGTAAAGACTGAGAGCCCCTCTCTGCCCGAAGATAAGTATTAAACAGAGTTCAGGCATGAGTGAATATCCCAGCGGTGCTGAGTGCAGCTGGAGATGCACGTCTGGTGGTGACTAAGGCGTCTCTGTGTTTCTCCAGTTCTTTACAGTTCCAAGCTGTACAGATTCTTCAAGTACATTGAGAACCGGGATGTTGCAAAAACCGTCTTAAAGGAGCGTGGGCTGAAAAACATTCGAATCGGCATCGAAGGTTCGTTTTCTTTCCTCAACAACAGACAAACAGGGAGGCAGTAGCCTCGGCCCCCAGCCCCGCTGCCGGGTTAAATGCAGGCACTCGGCGGGAGCTGGCAGAATCAGCTGCTCAGGGCTGCAGCGCTAGGTCATTTCTCCCGGGGCCTCGTGTGGAAGGAGAGCACTTCCCTGCTGCCCCGGCTCCCTGGGGTCCTTTGCTTTGAGCAGCACCGCTCCTTGCGCAGGGGGCGAGACTCACGGCCTGATTGCCTTGCAGGTTACCCCACATGTAAAGAGAAGGTCAAGCGGAGGCCGGGGGGCCGCTCAGAAGTTATATACAACTACGTGCAGCGGCCGTTCGTCCAGATGTCCTGGGAAAAGGAAGAAGGGAAGAGCCGCCACGTTGACTTCCAGTGTGTTAGAAGCAAATCTCTAACCAACCTGGTGACGGGAGGCGAGGATGCTTCAGACGACCAGGAACTTCTGCACCACCCACCCCAGGTGGACGAACTCGACAGGTTAAACGCACCATTCGCACAAATGGCGCCTAACGATCTGCCGGATTAGCGCAGGAAAGGGGTGCACAGCCCCGGCCGCTCCCCCGCGTCTCGGCGCCCTTTCCTCCCAGGACACGAGGCAGCCCTCCCACAAGGCGCCGGTGCCGGGTAGTTGCTCTTGTCATAGTGTCAGATTTCAAACATATTAACAATGAGCTACAGTCCCTGCGTCGAGAGGCGCCATCGCCAGCGACGTCTCTGAGCAGGGAGCGCTGGGAGCTGGTCCTTGCCGGAGGCGTTCGGACATTGCGGGGGGAGGGGGCTGAAATGTACCAACACCAGGGAAAGGACAAAGCGTTAAAACCGCCTCAGCAGGAGGGGCATTCGGCAGCGCTCTTGTGGCTGGACACTGGCCTCTGCTTGTGACAGTCGCTGGGTTACGAAGGGTAGTTTTATTCTGTCCAACAGGAGCAACGGCGGCGGGGGAGACCCATTTTAGCAGTTCTGCGTGTGTACACGGCGAGAACAGCTTTGCAAGGGAGTAAGCGTCCAGTCCCTGCTCCTCCTCACCTGATCTGAACCAAAGGCCCGGTTCAGACAATACCGGAACATGCCACCCGTGGCCGTGTTCAACGTAAGGATGTTAAATATCGATTAATTGACTAGTCGATGGAATTTCCATCAACTACTCAGCTAGTCCATAGGCACTTCCGCATTCCTCCTTTGAAATGTACAAGAGCCCCAGCGGGGGGGCTCTTGTGCATTTCAAAATTTAACTTCTATGGAGCTATACCTCGCTCCTAGACCTGGAAGGGACCTCGAGAGGTCATCGAGTCCAGCCCCCTGCCCTCACAGCAGGACCAAGCGCCATCCCTGACAGACTTGCCCCAGATCCCTAAATGGCCCCCTCAAGGATCGAGCCCACAACCCCGGGTTTAGCAGGCCAATGTACCAACCACTGAACGATCCCGGCCCCCGAAATGGAAGCGCAGCACGGAGCCTGGGGTCAGCAGCGGATTCAGAGTCCTTGGGACTCCCCAGCTGATCCCGGGCTCTGTGTGGCGCTGCCGCTTTAAAGTACCTCTCTCCCTTCCTCCCCCCGCTGCCTCTATCCGATGGGGCAGCAAGGGGAGGGAGCGACTGACTGACTCAACAGGCTGATAAACATTTGCTTATCGGATAGTCGACTAGTCCTTCACATCCTTAGTTCAAAGCCAGGCACAGCTAGCTCGGTCCTCGGTCCAGGACACAGAGCCTGAAGCCCTAACTTCTGCCCCTCCTACTAACGACCCCTGCAGCTAACGACACGTGACACTCGTCCTGCTTACACATCTGCCCGCCTCCCGCTTCTTAATCAACCCCGGAAAGACGGACAAGAGCCTCCACTGTGTTTCTCCCCGTCCCACGCCGCTGCGTGGCACAAGCAAAGCATCTTTGCACCCGCGTGTCCGTTCCTTTCCCGTTTGCAGCGTGGAGCAGACGGCCTGGCGGCTAGAGGCGTGTCCCTGCGCTTAGCTCGCCTACTTAGTCTGACACTCGGACGTACGATTCCCCCTAAAGCGCTAAACGCTGCCCTGGTTTCAGACGTGACAGGCGCTTGCTGGTGTTTCTCGTTTCCATTTGTACCTGCCCCTGCCTGTCTCGGAGAGCAGCTTCCCGCATTTGCCACGGTTCCTTCCTGGCCTCAAAGGAGCAGCAAGCAGCTTCTCTCCTCGCGGGCGCCCAAGGGACGGAGATTTCCAGAACTGCCTCCAGGAAGTCACAGGAGGCTCCTGCCTCCCTCCAGGCTCCCCCGCCGCTGGAGGAAAGGGTGGGGCTTTGCCGGCAGGTCGGGGCAGGCTAAGCACACCCTGGCCGCGGCC